AGGAACCAATCACAAACTCTAGGTTGAGCCCCCCTGAAGAGCCCTTCCCCCATGACCACATGAGGCTTTGGGGGGATATCCAGACACAACTCATAATAGTTTTGAAAGCTGAAAGTCGGAATGGAATAGCACTGGCTTGGGGGCAACCCTGGGCTGCATCGCCTCATGGTGCAGGGAGCAGTGATAGGAATGCACCTGTGAGAAGCAAGCTAGTGATTGCACCTCTGACCAGGAGCAGAGACTGAGAGAGGGCCTGCTCTCCCATAATTCCGTTCAAGGGCCCACTCCCAGTGACCTAAGGACTTTCTACAAGAGCCTGCCTACCAAAGATGCACAGTATCTCTCAGTACCACTACCCCGGGGACCAAGCATTTTCATAGATATCTTTAGAGAACATGCAGGATCAAGACCAAAGCCGGGTAATACGAGCACAGGGTTGTCTGTAGCACATCGAAACAGAGTGTTGAAATTAGGCATAGTCATGAAAATGGTCTGAGGCGATAATGGCGCCTGTAATCCTAGGGGAGCTATGTAAGAAAGAATTCTTTAACTAAAAACTTAGAATTTTTCAATAGTAGCTGAAAAATTTATATGTGGGAAAATGGAGAACTTAAAAAGTTGCAGAAATGGAGGATTTCCTTTCCTTTCTTTTCTTTTCTTTTTTTTTTTTTTTTTTCTTTTTTTTAAATTACAGCATGTGGGCATGGCTTCCAGCACCTTCTCCACACCCATGAGGAAAAATAACCTACCCAACATAGAAATGCCAAATATGAACGAGATGTCATGGGAACTCATTCAATTTAAACCAATCTTTTCTTTCAGTGCTTGTTTTGGGAAAAGTTCCTCCACACCTCCTCAGTGGTATTTTGAATTCATAATTACAGTGGATGGAAAGAATAAAAAAAGTTAGGATGTCCCAAAGTACTAAATCCCCATTTAATGTTCACCTGAAAATCCTGTTCATAATATTAGAATGAAAGTGACTTTCACAGGTAGTGGATCATGAGAACAGAAGAGAGTTTAGAGTGACTTAGGTGAGTGTCCATCCCACAATTTCTGGGCTCATTGGCACAGGGATTCCTACAAGCAAAACAAAAATGACACTGATCCCTAGCCAGTCACTAATGAAGCAATATGAACTACCACCATCCCCTTGAACAGCAACCGCTGTTCTCTTAACAATTTCAGTGCTTTTTATCTGACAAAGACTGTCTCCTGGCACAAAATTTTATTTATACTTCTCTGACTATCCCTGGCTTTGGAATTCTCTCTCTGTTCTGGTAAAATCAAGTTTCAACAAGAACCCAGTTAAATCAACTTCTTTGTAATTCCCACCCTTGATACCTGGTGAGCTTTGTTTTTATCATCCTTACCTTGTTCAGTAATGTCCCTCCAAATCAGTTTATTTCAAAAATTTTTATCCTTGATGTTGCCTCTCAGAATTCTTCCACCTTCTGCTCCCACCCCTACTTGGTTACAAATCTCTCCTTGTCCCTACTGGAATTAAAGTCCAGTTTCTCTCCTCCACCACAAGACCCAGTGCAGTGTCCTAATATCTATTATTATGACCTCTGCATTTGAGGAAAGTTTGCCTTGCCATCTTTAACGAATGCCATGAATAATATTTAGTTTTTCTTTAATGTGCATTTGATGGTTTATTAAGTACAGGTCATCAGTTTACACAATTTTCTGTTAAGTTTTTTGAAGACTTGATTCATTCTCTGTTGCCTACACTGGCAATTCTCAAATGCCCTTTCAATTACTAAATATAGGAGCCAATTCCCATCCTTTTTTAACATTGACATTGTAAACACCTCCATCTGCGGCTGCTGGCTCTCTTCCAGTCTTTTCATACTCCCCCCCCCCCCTTGGCTCTTATGTTCTTTTTCTGAATCATCTTCCTATCTCTTATTGCAGTTATTGTCTTAGATTTATGTACAGATAGATATTCAGTTTTTCTGATGGACTGAATTTGCTCTCATGAGGGCTGGCCAAATAGCTCAGTGGATTAAAGCACCTGCAAGAAGGCACAGGGGCTGGAAGTTCGATCCCTGGGCCTGCCATGCCAGCCCCGCCTCCAGGGCATGCTGAGAGCGCAATTGAGACTGAGCATGGTGGCATG